GGGGGGGGGGGAACCGCAGCGCAGCACCACGCCACGCCCACAGGGGGGGGCGGGGGGGACCATCGCGCAGGGGGGGGGCCCAATGGCATCAGCATTGGGGGGGGGGCCCAAACCCTGGACCATGTATGGATTCCCGTATGTATAGATGTATGAATGGCTCTGCATGTATGTGTGTACGTTCGCGTGAATGTGTGTATGTATGTATGTATACATATAACGGCACACCGGGTCCGGGGGGCCCGGGGCCGGGACCCCGACCACAAATGTGAGCCCCGTGGGGCCCGGAGGCTCGTCGGGGCTTGCTGGAGGCCTCCCCAGTCAGACAAGACGGCCCAAGAAGCGCCCAAGACGGCCCAAGAAACTTCCAAGAGGCCTCCAAGAGGGCTCCGAGATGCTGAAGATGGCCTCCAGACGTCCAAGGACGCCCCCAAGAGGCCCCAAGAAGCCTCCAACATGCGTCCCAAGAGGGCCCCTAGACGCAAACATTGGCCCATTCCCTTCGTAAAACGTACATTTTTCACAAAGTTGCTTTTTGGGCTTTCCGACGTTACAGGACGGCCCACGAGGCGCCCAAGACCGCCCCAAGACGGCCCAAGAAGCTTCCAAGAGGGCCCAAGGACAGCCCAAGAGGGCCCCAAGACGGCCCAAGAGGCGCCCAAGATGGCCCAAGAGGGCCCCAAGACGGACCCAAGAGGGGGCCCAGAGGGGGACCACGAACCGCACGCTCGAGCCTTCCGCCCCAAGAGGCCGCCAGGAGGCCCCAAGGAGGCCCCTCAAGAGGCCCCAGGAGACCCCCAAGAGGCCCAAAGGAGGCCCCGAGAAGCCCCAAATCGGCCCCCAAAATGCTTCGAACCTGCTTCCAGGAGGCCCCCGACAGGTTCAGAGGCTCCCGAGAAGCTACGTCAAACTCCCAGCGAGAATGATCCTAGCTAGAACCTAAGCGCGCGCGAAGCGCGCGCGCGTGGTTCTAGTATTGATGTATGTGTGGATGATTGTATGCATGTATGTGTGTAGGCATGTATGTACGTGTGTATAGATATGCATTCATGAGTGTATGTATATATGTATGCATGTAAGTATGTCTGTCTGTCTGTGTGTCTGTCTGCCTGCCTGCCTGCCTGCCTGTCTGTATGTATGTATGTATGTATGTATGTATGTATGGGTGTATGGGTGTATTTCTGTAAGTAGGCATGTAGGTATGCAGGTATGTGTGTACGTAGTTTTTTATATAAGTGTGTGTGTGTGTGTGAATGTGTGTGAATGTGCGCTTACGCGTGCTACCATACGTATATACAATGTAGAGAACCAGCCGCTGCAGTTCCGCTAAGTGTCGGTATGTTCCGCTGAGTGTTGATACTTCCACTACGTTGTGCCAAGTTCGGATTAAGCGAACGCATTTAGTTATAAACGAGTGCATGCACGTTGATATAGTCACAGCACGTGTGCGCAAACCGATCTCTACCGATCGCAATGCAATGCGAGTCACACAGAACTGCACTTCCGACGGTACGTAGTTGTATTAACCTGGGCAGCTTACAAGGCGCGTTGCTCGACTTGCGACATGCCTCAGCCGACATCTGACTCGTGTTGCAAGTGGCTATGTGGCCAGGTTGCCGAAGTGGGCCGCCGCCCAGGCCAGGCGCCACCGCCGCACCACCTGCATGCCCAGCATGACATGCGCCACATGGTGCCACCACCACCACCGCACCGCGAAACTGCTCCAGGAAGGCGACCACGGCAGCCTGCGCTGCGGGGGGGGGCGGCGCGACCGACAGCGCCGCAAAGGCCGTGTCGGACCCTCCTCCGTGGGCACCACGGCCACCCGTGGGCGCGGTGGCGCCTCCAGCGGCGGTTTCGGCCTGCACAGTCGCCGGCGCCTGCTGGACGGCCGCCTCCTCGGTCTCGGCCTGCACCGCCTGCGCCCCCATCGCTGCAGCAGCCTACGCTGCCTGCTCGGCCACCTGCTGCGCGTCCAGGGCGGTCGGCCGCGCGTTCCGGGCCACCGCTGCCCTGTTGGCGCAGGGCGGGTGGCCCGCTCCGCCACAACCGCCGCCGCCGCTTCAACCTCCAGCGGCGCCACGGTGGCGGCGCATTTAGGGAAGGTCTGGAACGCGCGCGGTGATGCCGGCCTGGAGGCTTGCGAGGTGCTGCGCAGCCGTCGGTGGCGCCGCTGCCGGGCCGGGATCGCGCGGAACTTCCGCAGCCATCTGTGCCGCGCTTGGCGGCTGTGCCCCCGCGGTTCCCGCCACCTGAGCCCAGGTCCGCGCCGCGGCAGCCGCTGGGGGAGGGCGCTCCGTTCCCGGGTGCGGCGCGTTGCCCACCGCAGTGCGTGGGCAACGGCGGCCACACGCACAGCAGCTTGCTGCCTGACAGGCCCAACTGTCGGACACCCCGCACGAGTAGCCCCACATGGGTTGCAGTGGTGGGCCATCTGTCGCCTCGGGGCGACCACCACACCCACCTGCCCTGCGCTCCAGCCCCCGCTTCGGCTGCCTCCACGCCGAGCATGCTGCCAGCAGCGCCTTCCCCAGCTGCGGTGGCTCGGCGGGGCCGCCACACCGACCAGCGCCCTGCCGCGGCGGCCGCCCTGCATGCGGCAACGCCCGCAGATTACCCTACGCGCATGGTCAGGGTGCCAGGGCCAGGTCGCTTGAGCCGACCCCGTCGGCTTGAGCCGAAATGGCTGACGTTCTTAATGTTTTGTTACCGCCCCCCGGCCTTCTTTTGCGCGACGCGCCGAGACATCCATTCAAGGAAGCGCAAACACGTATTGAGGCGCGTGGATTAGCGATTAGTGACGGGTCCCATTCCCGTTCTGCGCGCTCCGTCGTCAAATCAGGCAGCATGGGGGATCCGTAATCCATGTTAGTGCGCGTTCGGTCCATGAACCAGCGCCAATCACGGCTTAGACCAATCGAGGGAATGTTCGTGCCGCCAGCCGTGCCCGAACGTCTATACCTGCAGGTGCAATGTGGTGCGTTTGGTGTCCACGGTGCCTGTGGTGGAGTTTTCTCGGCCGCAAGGGCCCTTGGAGGAGGAGGAGGAGGAGGAGGAGGAGGAGGACGAGGACGAGGACGAGGAGGGGGAGGTGCAGGAGGCGGAGGAGGAGGAGGGGGAGGGGGAGGAGGAGGAGGAGGAGGAGGCGGAGGAGGAGGGGGAGGTGGAGGAGGAGGAGGAGATAGAGGAGGAGGAGGAGGAGGAGGAGGACGCACGTGCCATTGAAGGCCCCAAAAGGCAGCAGGAGTCTGCCTGGTGGGTGCCCCCTTGTTTGTCCGAGGCTGGGAGGATGGGTGCCCGGTCCTCTCGACGCCCACTCGGTTGCGAGAGGGGCCCTCGGGGCCGCCAGGGCAGCCGAGGCTCCCCCGTCCTCCAACGTGTCGGGCAGCTCCATGCGGAAGGTTTTTTTTTATCTTCCGCCTCAGGGATGGTGGCGATGATGTTGATGATGATGATGATGGTGGTGATGGTGATGATGATGATGATGATGATGATGATGATGATGATGATGATGATGATGGTGATGGTGATGATGATGTTGATGGTGATGGTGATGCTGATGATGATGATGATGATGGTGATGGTGATGGTGATGGTGGTGATGCTGATGATGATGTTGATGATGATGGTGATGGTGATGGTGATGATGATGGTGATGATGATGATGATGGTGATGATGATGATGATGGTGATGGTGATGGTGATGGTGATGATGATGGTGAGGTCGATGATGATGGTGATGGTGATGGTGATGGTGATGATGATGGTGATGCTGATGATGATGATGATGATGCTGATGATGATGATGAGGATGATGGTGATGCTGATGATGATGATGATGATGGTGGTGATGCTGATGCTGATGATGTTGACGATGATGGTGATGGTGATGCTGATGATGATGGTGATGATGATGATGGTGATGATGATGATGATGATGATGATGGTGATGGTGATGGTGATGATGATGGTGAGGTCGATGATGATGGTGATGGTGATGGTGATGGTGACGGTAGTGCTGATGCTAAGCAGGATAATGAGGATGTTGTTGCTGCTGATGATGATGACGGTTACGATGATGATGCTGATGCTGCTCCTAATGATGTTGATGCTGACGCTGATGCTGATGCGGATGCTGTTGATGACGATGCGTATGAGGATTATGATGATGATGATGATCAGTATGCTAATGTTGAGGATGATAATGATGCGGATGCTGATGATGCTGATGATGATGATCATGATGGTGATGATGATGGTGATGCTGATGATGCTGCTGATGGTGAGTTTGATGCTGATTACGATGAAGGTGATACTGGCGATGATGATGACGATGGCGCTGATGATGATGCTGATGCTGATGCGGATGCGGACGACGATGATGATGACGGTGATGATGATGGTGATGATGCTGATGTTGATTATGCTGATGCTGATGCTGATGCTGATGATGCTGATCTTGGTGCTGATGCTGCTGATGATGATGCTGATGCTGCTCTTGTCGATGATGCTGATGGCGATGATGATGATACTGATGATGCTGATGATGATGATGATGCTGGTGATGATAATGATGATGATGATGATGATGAGGATGATGATGATGATGAAAATGATGATGATGATGATGATGATGATGATGATGATGATGATGATGATGATGATGATGATGATGATGATGATGATGATGGAGACGATGGTGATGATGACGATGACAGCGACGACGACGAGGAGTAGGAGGAGCAGGACGAGGAGGGGAGGAGGAGGAGGAGGATGGTGGTGATGATGATGATGATGATGATGATGATGATGATGATGATGATGATGATGATGATGATACTGGTCATGATGATGGTACTGGTGATCGAGATGGTGATGTTGATGGTGATGGTGATGGTGATGATGATGACGAGGAGGAGGAGGAGGAGGAGGAGGAGAAGGACGAGGAGGAGGAGGAGGAGAAGGAGGACGCGTCGGCCTCGGTCTCCCGCCCCGCCGCCCAGGACATCCCGTGGTGAGGCGGGTGGCGCCCCTCCTCTGCCGCATAGGCCCTCTCTCTTTTTTGTCTCCTTGGGGGGCGGCGGTGCTGCCACCTCGCGCACAGAGACATACTAGTACTATCTCTCTATATATATATATGTATATATATATATATATACATATCCTCCTTGGAGGCGCGCGCCCGACCCGAACATATAGTATACCCATCTTGTAGTGTATCGTTTCCCGAGCGGTGTGGCCAGAAAGCGCCCGCCACGACGCATATACTATACGATTTCTCGGCGCGCGCGTCGCCCCTGGGGGGGCGACGAACATATAGTACAAGTATGCGGGTGGGACGCAGATCGGCGTCACCCCAACATACTTATACTATATGTGCGTCGCCCCCTCAGGGGCGACGCGCTCACCGAGAAGTCTTATAGTATATGCGTCGTGGCGGGCGCTTTCTGGCCACACCGCTCGGGAAACGATATACTATGAGATAGGTATACTATATGTTTGGGTCGGACGCGCGCCTCCAAGGAGAACATATAGCACTAGAATGTCCTTGTGCCTCCCAGAACGGGCAGCTCGAGCCGCAGTGCTGCCTGAGATCGGACCTCCTCCTCCTCCCCCCGCCGCTCCCCCCGCCGCTCCCCCTTGGGTGCCCCGTGCTCGGCTGGGGCCTCTCGTGGCCCACTGCAGGACGTGGGTCGCAAGATTGGGCAGGGCGGCTTCCAGGAGGGGTGTGGCCACATATTTGGGTAGCCAGATCGTTTGGTTGATTTTGCAGGCCCCGACTTCGGTGCCTCGCTCTCCACTGAGGGCCTTGGGCGTCCAGTTTCGAGACCCCAGGCCATCGGAAACTGTAGAGGATGAACGGCTGGTCCCAGGGAAGGGGGGAGTGTTCCAGGGTCTGGCGGCTTGAACAACATCGAATCTGGGCTTGGGATACTTAGAGGATCGGTTCGGTGCGAGAAGCCGGCCCAATGGAATGAGTCAAGATTTCTGAGGCTCGCGGATTGAAAAGTAAAGAATACGCCTGAGGTCGGGGTTCTACTTAGAATAAGTTGTTCCTCGCCCTGTCTAAGATTGCAACTGGTGGGAGGTACAGTTCTGAGTCGGACTTGGTATGGTGTTATTCCGACCTTGGCCAGCCAAATCCCAGTTTATCTTGCTACACACATGGTCCAATCAATCCAGCTTCATAGGCCCACACTCGAGCTTCGCTTACCTTGATGACCGTTCCCACGAAGGGATCCCAGGAGTTGCCTCCTGACCTTCCCCCCCCGGGGGGCAGGAATCTCAGCTACAGTCAACCCGCATAGGAAGGACGGGCAACCTTCCCAAGGGTGCCATTGCATCATTGCCTCCTCGGTGCATCCTTGGCCACTTTCGTTGGCCGCGCCCCGCTCGAACAAGTCGAAATGGGCTTCCAAGGGCCTCGCACCCTTATCGCGCATCCTTCCTGTGCGGGTTGACCGTGTCACCGCGGGCCACGGGCGGAAGTCTCCTCGGGGGCCTCGCGCGGCGCGCAGCAGCGCTGTTCCCTACAGTCCCCGGTCCGCACGTCTGCCCCGTCGGACACGGGCTCGACGCTCCCGCGGCGACGGCCCGAGGCGAGTCCGGCAGCACCCGACGCCCATCCGACGCACACCGCCGTGAGCCCGACGCAGATCTCGGGCCTCGACGGAAGGGGGGAGGGATGGGGGAAAGGGGGGGTCACGAAATCTGCTGCGTGCAGCTAGTTTCGGCCCCGCCGAGGGGCCCATCCCTCGATACATGGCCGCCTCCGGCGCCGGGAGGCGGAGGCGCCAGGAGAATCAGCTACGTGAGCTGATTCTCAAACCCTCTCTTTGCAATCCCCCCCTTTCGCCCGGCCCGAAATCCGACGTGGCTCCGACGTAAATTAGATTTCCGGTTTCCGCGCGAGGTTTCCAGGAGTCTCTTCACAAAGGGGGTCGGGTCCCCCCCGCCCCGAAAACTGGGGGGGGGTCACTACCGGTTGAACCCCCCACCCAGTCTATCATGAAAAGGGGTGGGGGTCACTACCGGTTCGAGCTTCCCCCTCCCCCATCCTCGCCGCCGGCAAACGACTCCCGCTCCTCGGGACATTGGGACAGTGGTGGGGACAGTAGGACAGAAGTGGGGACAGTGGTGTTGGGAACAGTGGTGTGGGGACAGTGGGACAGTGGTGGGGACAGTGGGGACAGCGGGACAGTGGTGGGGACGTTGGTGGTGGGGACGTGGTGGTGGGGGCAGTGGTGAGGGGACAGTGGGACAGTGGGACAGTGGTGGGGACAGTGGGGACAGTGGGGCAGTGGTGGGGACGGTGGTGGTGGGGACAGTGGTGAGGGCGGTGGGGTGAGGACGGTGGTGGGGCAATGGAACAGGGGTACAGTGTGGAGAGTGGTGGGGACAGTGGGGACAGCGGGACAGTGGTGCGGAAAATGGGACACCAGTGGGGACAGCGGCGGGGATCGTGGGGACTGGGACAGTGGTGGGGACAGTGGGGACAGCTGGACAGTGGTAGGGACAGTGGGGACAATGTGGAGAGTGGGACCGTGGTGGGGACAGTGGTGGGGACAGTGGGGACAGTGAGACACTGGTGGGGACAGTGGTTGGAACAGTGGGGACAGTGGTGGCGACAGTGGGGACAGTGGGACAGTGGTGGGGACGGTGGTGGTTGGGACAGTGGTGTGGGGACAGTGCGACAGTGGTGGGGACAGTGGGACAGTGGTGGGGACGGTGGTGGTGTGGTCAGTGGTGAGGGCGGTGGTCAGGAGAGTGGTGGGACAATTGGACAGAAGTGCAGTGGGGACAGAGGGGACAGTGGTGGGAAAAGATAAGACAGTGGGACAGTGGTGGGAACAGTGGGACAGCGGTGGTGGGAGTGGGGACAGTGGGTGAGGGCGGTGGTGAGGACGGTGGTGTTAACCCGGGAGTCGTTTGCCGGCGGCGTGTGGGGGAGGTGTTCGAACCGGTAGTGACCCCCCCCCCCGGTTTTCTGGAGGGGGGGGGTGGGGGCTCGAACCCCATGTAGTGAATCTCCCTGGTTTTCCCCGAGGGGGGGGGGAAGGGAGTGAGGTGGTTTCGCCAGGGAATTGAGGGGGGAGGGGGGGGGGATTCGAGCAGGGAGGGGGGGCTTTCTTGGAGTGGGGGGGGGTCCCTGGGCTCCGGAGGAAGAGCGGGGGGACTTTGCCACAGTGCGGCGGTGGATCACGCTCTCTCGAATCTCAGCTTTCTCACCGGTCTTGGCTGCCTGGGCCCCTGGTGTACAGATCCCTTCCCAGCGCGCGGTGTTGGCGAGATCGCCGTGGTGCAGCGAGCGTGGCCGTAGAGCGGCGCCACGCTTTTTCGAACGCCTGGTCCGGCGCTCAGTTTTCTCACTCTCCCGAGTGAACCTGCCACGGCTTCGACAGAATAGCAAAAATGAGAGTGGGGAGGAGGAGTAGGAGGAGGAGGAGTTCGAGATGGAGGGCCCTTTCCTGCCTGACCCAGACCTCTTGGCGAATTCTATTATTCCAAGTATTCACGCTTCGCGTACCCCATCAGCATATTCAGGATCCCTGCGCATGAGAGTTGACTGGTAAAGGGACGAAGAGACATATGTAATGAAACAATGCGGGAAACCAGTGTGAACCGACAGATCTGGAGCAAGGGGGTGGACTCGGGACCCGCAAAGTGGCGAGGGAAGGAGGAGGAGAAGGAGGAGGAGGAGGAGGAGGAGGAAGAAGAAGAAGAACAATAAAAAGAAGAAAAGGACGACGACGACGACGACGACGACCACGACGACGAGGAACAGGAGGAACGGGAAAAAGGAAGACGATAACTAGGAGGAGGAGGAGGAGGAGGAGGAGGAGGAGGAGGAGGAGGAGGAGGAGGAGGCCAAGGAGGACGAGGACAGAGCACTCAAATTGCCTCCTGTAGCCCTCTTGGGGCTCTTTTGAAGGGTCTTGGGGTTCTCTTGGAGCTCTTTTGAGGCGTCTCGGGGCCCTGTCGGGGCCCTCTTGGGGCTCTGTCGGGGCTCTCTTCGGGGCCTCGTGGGAGCCCTGTGGGGCCTCTTGGGACTATCGTGGTCATGACGTTTGGTCCCCCCCCTGGGGCCTTCGAAGTTCGTCGGGACGCTGCGATCTTGAGCGCTCTTGGGGCCGTCTTGGGGCCTTAGGCCCATCTTGGGGCTCTCTTGGGTCACCTTCAGGCCAAAGGGCCGTGGATTAGCGACGGGTCCCGTTTCAATGGGAAATCGCCCATCTCCGCCGCCGAGCGGGGCGGCACCAGCCGCATTTTGGGGAGGGCACCTCCCCGATCCATGAATTTGGCGACCGTGCGCCAAATCCATGCATGGCTGATCCTTGTTTGCGCGCCCGCGAGCAAGAGCGCATCGGAAGCGAAAGGGCAAGAAGGCACAAAGCATTGATCGTCCTTGGGTGTTTGAGGGATTTGGCCTCTTGGTGGGCTCCCGAGAGGCTCCGAGAGCACTTGGAGCCGTCTTGTGGCCTTCGTCGGGCCTGTTGGAGGTACACGCTCGTTGTTACAAGTAGGTATTCCTGCATTCCCAGATCTCAATCGACTTCAAGAGCCCTCCTACGTTAAGAATCGGCATGCTTCTATTGTGTTTTGTTTATCTCTGGCAGCTATCCTGAATCAGCTTTGGCTATACCGAGCCGCCTTCCTACTTCATGTTTTTACCTACTTCTTCCCGCTGGCGTGTATGTCGGGAGCTATCCTGAACCATCTCTGACTACCTTGAGCCGCCTTGGAGGCCATCTTGGAGCATCGGGGGCCATGTTTCAGAGCGTGAATTACCTACCCCGCTTTCGCTTCCAGGCAAAACCAAGCCATACCACGCGCCTCCTCGTCAAGCGGCCTGATCAGTACAGGCTGCAATTTGGCATCGTTTGGTATCTCTTGGAAGCGAGGGTGGTCAAAAGCGAGGTAGGTTTGTTCCCCCCCAATGTTGGAGCCATATTGGGCGATCCTGGGCGGCCTTGTAACTACCTCGTGGCCCGCCCGGAGCACACCTCACGGAGGGGAGGGGGACGGTACCCATCCCCGAAGAGCGCGGGGCCTTGAAAGAGGAGAGGAACGCAATCGCTAGACCACATTAGCCCAAAGGGCTGATGGGTTCGTGGGGCACCAGAGCTCCCAGTCGTGTGGAATGTCGGCTTCTGGGTGCCCGCGGGGCCCGAGAGGGGCCCCCGGTTGCTCCCCCCCTCTCCTCCTCCTCCTCATCCTTCTCCTCCTCCTCCTCCTCCTCCTCTTCTCCCTCCTCCTCTTCCTCCTCCTCCTCCTCCCCCTCCTCCTCCTCCTCCTCCTCCTGCTCCTCCTCCTCCTCCTCCTCTCCTCCTCCTCCTCCTCCTCCTCCTCCTCCTCCTCTCCTCCTCCTCCTCCTCCTCTCCTCCTCCTCCTCCCCCTCCCCCTCCCCTCCCCCTCCCCCTCCTCCTCCGCGCGCGCACGGCTCGGCAGCTTGTTCGTCCCCTCCGCTTGAGGGCAGCCGATGACGAGCCTCATGTGGGCCCGTCTGGCCAGGCTTTGAGACCTGGCGGAAGCTTACCTTGGGGGAGCTTCTGGATCGCCTTCCTGCCTTCCTCTATGGGGGCTTGACAGGGATCCACGAATTTCCTGGCAGCTCCACAGCGGGAACACCACCAAATACCCCTCAGGACTTTCATGACGGGGCGATGATTGGGATGAAAACGCTGTTGGGGGCCTCTGGGCAAGCAGGGGGCTTTGAGCCACCTGGGGGTCTGCTTAATTTCACTCCTTGATTTCCCGCAAAGCCTGCAGGAGATCTCGAAGAGGGGAGGGGACGGGGCACACGAGAGACAGTGAGACGTCTTGCTGAGCTCTATCTGGCGTGCTGCTACGCTCCTATCTACATGTGCCTTCCTACGCTGCTGCTTGATCTCATCCTCCTGCAGGCCCAGGGTCTCCTTGTTATCCGAATAGAACTGCTGGATGGACGCGAGCCTGTCTCGAGTGAGATCAGCATGGATGTCAACTCCTTCGATCTGTCTGACTAGCCAGCCTGGGACCCGTCTTCCACGGGCTGCTTCGGATGCAAGCCTGTCGGCATGATCACTGAGATGTGAGGCCCAGAGAAGTTCCCGCGCGGCTTCGAGCTCCATGGGGTGACTCTTGATGTTGTAGAAAATCATATCATCCCGCCTCTTGGCTGCAAGACTCCAGAGTTTGCGCCACGTGTAGGGGTTCTTGGGGTGCCTGTACTGGGGCCCTCTGGAGAAACCAGTGATACCGTAGGCGCAATACGTGATGATGAGGAGCTGACCCTGGGTGGACTGGAGGAGGGCGATGCCTGCCTCGAGCTCCGCCAGGGGCACAGTCTGGGGGCCGATGATGCCCCCCTGAATCGTGCCTCTCCATGTAAGATCCGCTGTCCACAGAGAGACACTCCAGCCACAGACTCTGAGTCGGGGGTCCTTCGTGTGAGTCCCGCCGCTGCCGTCCGTGGCCGCCACGTGCCAATCGTCAAACTTGTAGAGTGGAAGCTGCTCAAAAACTCCTTTTCGGACCGTGTCCTGGTTTCGGCCGTTGATGTGATCGTGAACCCGACGGAGGAGAGTGGCTGGGATGATGCCGCGGAGCCACAGACGCCGGTTCGTCTGGGCTTCCTGAGTACTTCGGCCCTCTGAGCCTCTCCTCCCCCTCCTCCTCCTCCTCCTCCTGATCCTCCTCCTCCTGATCCTCCTCCTCCTGATCCTCCTCCTCCTGATCCTCCTCCTCCTGATCCTCCTCCTCCTTCCTCCTCCTCTCCTCCTCCTCCTCCCCCCCTCCTCCTCCCCCTCCTCCCTCCTCCTCCTCCTCCTCCTCCTCCTCCTCCCCCTCCTCCTCCCCCTCCTCCTCCCCCTCCCCCGCCTTCGCTCTTCCTGCCTGCCTCTGCGCGCCCCTCTCGGAGCCCGGCGCGGACCTCACCAGGCGGATCCGGCCGCGGCGGCAAAGAGGAGCCCCAGGAGGCCCAGGCAGGCAGTGGGCACTGTGCTCGCTGCTTTATTCATTGTTTTGCCGAGCGGCGCGGGCCCTCGCAACCCCCCCTCCCCCCTCCCTCCCTTTCTAGGCCTCTCAGATGGGGTCCGAGTAGATGGGGTCGGAGGATCGCGTCGTATCGCCGATGCATCGGCGATGTGGCTCGATGCGGAGCCCGTGTTTCCCCACGCCGGCGTCGCCGATGCATCCGGCGTCGCCGATGCATCGCCGACGTCGACGATGCATCGCCGATGCATATCCGATGCATCGCCGATACATCGGCGATGCATTGGCGATGCGGCGCGATCCTTCGACCCCATCTACTCGGACCCCATCTAGGAGGCCTCTACTCTTGGAGTAGATCCTGGCTGTTTTGGGCGCCTGTTTCGAGCAGGTGGAGTCTCCCCGTGGGACGCACGGTTGCAAGCAGTCGCACTGCGCAGAGGTCCAGAGCCAGACCCCCTCCCCCCCCTGCGTTCCGCCCAATGTCGAAACGCCGAACAAGAAAGCGCTCACATTCCAGCTGCTCGACGCGGAGAGATGCCCACATGCGCACCTGTTTTCTCGGTTCCAGCCTCTGTGAGTGCCTGTGCCTGAGCGGGGAGCGCGGGTCCGAATCGAGTGAGGGCGAGTCCGAGTGCGAGCGCTGACCTCCGTTGCTCTCTGCCGCCGTCTGCTGCTCCGAGGAGGGCGGGCTTCCCTTCGGAGGCCCCTGCGCAGTGCCCGCTTCATCGCCGTGGTCATGGGGCTCTGAAGAGATTCTCCTCCTCCTCCTCCTCCTCCTCCCTCCTCCCTCCTCCCTCCTCCCTCCTCCCTCCTCCCTCCTCCTCCTCCCTCCTCCTCCTCCTCCTCCTCCTCCTCCTCGTTTGTCCTGGAGCCTGGATCATCGACACTGGAGCCTCGATGCTCCTCCCTCCTCTCCTGCTTCCCTCGCGTGCGCGTGGAAAGGCGTGCTGGGTGGGCCTGGCAGGGGCGCGAACACTGGATGGGGGGGGAGAGGGAGGAGGAGGAGGGAGGAGGAGGAGGAGGAGGAGGGAGGAGGAGGAGGAGGAGGAGGAGGAGGAGGAGGAGGAGGAGGAGGAGGAGGAGGAGGAGGAGGAGGAGGAGGGGGAGGAGGAGGGGGAGGAGGAGTTGGAGGAGGAGGAGTAAGAGGAGGAGGACCAGTGTAAAACCCAAGACTCACCAACGGTTTTCGAATCAACCCTCCCCCCAAGCTCCCCTCTTCATTGGCCCCTGCAGCGGCTCATTTCCACAGAGGGACCTGCCTCGTTGGGAGACAGCCGTTCGAAGACCCTGAAACATGCCAAAACACTGTTCTCGGGATTTCAACGCCACGGATCAACCTGCCTGCTG